ATGACCATTAATGAAAATATTAACAAAAGGTAGCGTTTGGAAAAAAGCATTAGGAAGGTTCCATAAAGATAAATCAATGCATTGAGCTTGTTAAGCAAGTGGCAAAAAAGCTCCGTCTCGTGTAATCTACATAGAATTCATGAAGATTGTGGGAGAAGACATTTAGGCTCTATCACCTGTAAAAGCGTAAGGCTTTTCCATTTTCTGCCATTTTCCACTGCTGTGATGTTTCCCATGAACGTCTGTTTCCTCAACGGCGATGATCTCGGATACGGGCACAGAGCAGGCATCTGTAAAAACACCACATCCTTCTGTCAATGAATTCGTCAGAATCCACACAGGTAAAAGAAGACCAGCTCCAAAAAGCTGGGAACATTCTGCTTTAATATTCTCATTAGGAATCCAGGCTGGGTGTGGTGGTGTGCACCTGTAATCCCAGCACTTTGGGGGGCTGAGGAGGGGGGACTGCTTCAGCTCAGGAGTTGCAGTGAGCTATGATGGCACCACTGCACTCCAGCCCAGGCAACAGAGCAAGACCCCATCTCCAAAAACAAGCAAAATTAAAAAATGAAAAATCCCAAAATAAAAACAAGGTTATACGTCACTTTTAAATGCCAAGCTAAGTAACAATGAGCAGCTCAATGTTACCAGAGAGCGGGATGTTTTATTCAGCAGATTCACCAAATGGAAGCTGCGATTTTGCACACGATTTGCTCAGCCACTCAGGCAGCAAATGCTGACCGTTCTGGGCCAGCTGCCGTGTTAAATTCGGGGAGACTTGCTCAAGACACGGCCTCTGTCTGCAGGACAGTGTCTGGTTCGGAAATCCAAGTGGGAAGGAGACACAGGACAGGAGCTGGGACAGCTGGAACCACGGAGCGAGCAAGTGAGGCAGAGCCCCAGTGTGGCGGGACTGGAGTGGGTTAGGGGAGGAGATAGCGGGGGCTTGCAGGGACTCGGGATGACAGCACCGGACGTGCTCCCCACTGGGAACCAGGAAGGGCCGGTTCCACCCAAGCCACCTGGGGCGTGTTCGTTTGGTGGGCAGCTGTAATTACAGGACTGCACATCAAAGAAAGTTCTGGGCTGGGAGCAGAGCCGTGGGAGGAGATGCATAACTGAAGCCAAAGGCCTGCAAGAACCTGCCCAGGAGAGCATGGGATCGAAGACAGCAAAGCCACATCTGAGCAAGCTGGCTTCCAAAAGCTTATTCTAGAACTACTGTTAGGGAGGAATGACATATTTTTACACAGAAGAACCTTATAATTTGTGGTTAACTTCCTAGGTTGGCTATAAAACCTGCAATATAGCTAAAATACTGTATTTTTGCCGTACATTTGTAGTAATTTTGCATCACTTTGAAAGTTGCTGCCCCTGGAAATCAAGTTAGAGGAATCTAGGAGGGCAGTGTCCGAACTGGGCTTTTGAACACGGCAGAAACCTGGAAAGGCCAGTAGTGGGGCCTCTTGACTCCTCTGAAGTGGAGCAGACTTGTTGGGGAGGTGGTACAGAGGAAGAAGTCTGGCAGGAGGGGCGGAGGTCTCAGGAGCTGTCTGTGCAGCCTGCTCCTGGGAATAGGATGTGGGGTCCAGAGTGACTCTCAGGGCCCCCACCTTCCAGTGCTCCCAACTGGGCCACCCTCTTGGCTTCCCATCTTTCTTTTTTTTTTTTTTTAGATGGAGTTTTACTCTTGTTGCCCAGGCTGGAGTGCAATGGCATGATCTCAGCTCACTGCAACCTCCACCTCCCCGTTCAAGAGATTTTCCGGTTTCAGCCTCCCAAGTAGCTGAGACTATAGGTGCCCACCACCATGCCCAGCCAATTTTAGTAGAGACGGGGTTTTGTCATGTTAGCCAGGCTAGTCTTGAACTCTTGACCTGAGGTGATCTGCCCAGCTCAGCCTCCCAAAGTGATGGAATCACAGGTGTGAACCACGCGCCTGGCCTTCCCGTACTGCCCTCATGGCCGTGACTCTAGAACACAATTTCCACCCACTTCTTATTCTGCCCTCCCTAGGACCCAGGACCCCGATGCTCCAGGCCCCTCCCCACTCTGCAGCTTGGCATCCATACGGGACAGCCACACAGGACAGCCACACAGGACAGCCACATGGGCTCCCTGGGCATCCCGGACACCCGCACGTGGACCAGCTTCCCTGTCTCCGCCGCCAGCCTTCCGACGCAGCCCTTCTCATCTGGCACGGCTCGCCTCCTTAACCATCCCCTATTTCTTGAGGTGCTGGCCTTGCCCTCCCGGTCCTGCAGGGATGTGACCACGGCACTCAAACCCTGTGACTGCACCTGACGCCCTGGCGTCCTCTTCGTGCGAGACAGAGCTAATGCCAGGCCTCTGCAGCTCCGGGACCCAGCATGGGCCAGGCTTGGGGCAGGGTTCCACGACCCAGATGGCTGAGTCAGGGACCCACCACCTATGGATATGACAGTGCACACCACAATCTTCCTAGACCACTGAGAGCAAACCTCAGGACCTCCCCGTGCCTGCAGATAGCCACAACCATGGCTGTCTGATAAGAAGCCATGGTCCAAGAGTCAGTGGTCAGGTCAGTTCCCCAGCATCTGGTCGACCGGTTTAGGAAGCCGCACAACACACAGCATGGAAAGATATGCATGACTCCAGGACAGTCACCTGAGTCTACAGGTTACTAACTTTCAGCCTTGCACATTTGGTCTGACAGACTCCAAGAGCCCATGATGGGACACACCACGCTGACCTGGCTGCAGGCTATGCCATGCCAGGGGTGCCAGCCCGAGGTCAGGCAGTCCACGCGGGTCCTGCTGGAAGAGTGACACAGGTGCTGGGGCAGGGAGGTGGTGGGGACAGCCTCACCATCAGGGTCAGGGTTTGGAGGGTTCCCCTCAGGTGGAGGAAGGTGTCTTGGGGCAGGAGACAGGAAGAGGCAGAGGCCGCTGGGAGGGAGAGGGTGAGTGGCTGCGAAGCGGGCGGCCATTCTGGGCGGAGGGACGACGGAGCCCACTTGGGTACGATTCTGAATCAAACTACAAGTGTTCGGGACGGGGCAAGAGACTGAACGGACTAAGGACGCCCTGGGACGAATCCGGCACCTTCTGTCACTGGACCTGCAGCGAGGTGGACCTGCTCCTCAGGCGAGAGAAAAAGACAAAGATGCCAGCAGGGGACATTAGTTTACACACACGTTCCTGCTACACACGGATTAATGAATGGCATTCTTGTCTCTAAAAAGGGACAGAAAAGTTAATAGAGGAATAAAATTCAATCTTGTCTGCACACCTTTATTGAGGAACATCAAGAATAAGAACACAGGATGGGTGCAGTGGCTCATGCCTGTAACCCCAGCACTTTGGGAGGCCAAGGTGGGTGGATCACTTTAGGTCAGGACTTTGAGACCAGCCTGGCCAACATGGTGAAACCCCGTCTCTACCGAAAATACAAAAATTAGCCAGGTGTGGAGGCAAGCTACTCAGGAGGCTGAGGCAGGAGAGCTGGTTGAACACGGGAGGTGGAGGTTGCAGTGATCACATCTTCTCTTCCCATGGTTTTCTTAATCATGTTTTCTTTTCTCTACTTTATTGCAATAGTACAGTATATAATTCAGGCCATATAAGAAGCGTGTTCACTGGCTATTTAAGTTATCAGCAAGGCATCCGGTCGATGGTAGGAGTCACAGGCTGGGGGAGTGAAAGGTTTCCAACTGCACGGGGCTGGGGCGCTGATCCCCACGTTGTTCAGGGGTCCGCTGTACTGGGTACGGCTCAGGACAAGGGCTTCCTCCCGACTCAAGAGACCTGGAGTGGTGTGGCCAGGGTAGGAACGCATGACCCAGGTCTCGATGCGGGCATGGACTTGGTGTGGCTTCAGCCTCCATCCGGCTGCTGCGTTACTGTGGGTACGCCACTGAGCCTGGAGCATGGCTGTCATGTGGGGGAACAATGAACCCCACAGAGGTTTTAGGAGCTGGAATAAGATAAGCAGTGAAAACGTTTCAAGTACAAAAATGTCCGATACATGGTAGCTTCCTTTCTTGTCAAAAAGCCTGGGCCGGAGATGGAGGCTCTGCCCCCCTCGGGCAGACCTCGGTCCCTGTGTTAAGCTGAGGACTCCACAGAGCGAGACGCCCCAGCCTGCGGCACTCACCCCTTCTCCCGCTCTCGTCACCTTGGCGTGTCACGGCACTACGCCCTAGTCTTCAAAACTCTGATTTCTAATTAGGAGACAAAGAATGGGGCCAAGAATCTGAGCAAACAGAGCAGCTCCCTGCAGGGGCTCAGGAAACGCTCACCAGCGCCCACCGGTCGGAGAGCTGGCACCTGCTCATCTGACGGCAGGTCATGCGGAGCGCGGGGGACCACCGGGGACTGGCACACAGTTCTGGAGGACGAGGACGGTCCTCTAGAGGCAGAAGAGCCACCCTCCGAGGGTCAGTCTCAATGTGCCACCTCCCGGCGGCATCCCCACACCGCATGTGGTGTACGGACATGCCATAGCATCCCCGGGAGAAAACACACCAGACCCGGGTGGGCAGACGCTGTGGAACGTCTTGCAAAGGGCAGAAGGTGGGGATTTGCAGCATTTTCATATTCTTTCGCTGACACAGATAAATTCTCCCGTGCAAGAGGCCCCACGGTGACTCATGTTGACATGCGGTGAGCTCTCCAGTAAAGGCAACAAACAAATGGCCATCACATTCCAGAAAAATCAAAGGCCACACCAGCGAGTGAGCCTGGCCCCCCCTCTCCAGAGCGCTGCAGTGTTTGCCGCAGTCTGGGTGATGCCTGCTGGGGCAGCTGAGAGTACGCTGACTTCCAGCATCTTCTTTTTCAGTTCTGTTCTCTGTTTTTTAGTGCTTGCTGTGATCCACTGAAACTAGATTTATTTCATGCTCGTGACTCACAGATGAATACAGTACCTGCTGACAATCAGCTTTGATGCTAGAAGTTCCTGGATTCAACTGAGCCACAGGCAGTGGCCTGCCGTCCAGCAGGAGGGTCCACGGGTTTCCCGTGTGTCACAGGAGCACCGAGCATCTGCCAGTGACCCTGGTGCAGGTGTGTGAGCACGCTCACGGCAGGGCAGGGTCAAGGTGGCGGCACACGCTGCTCCAGGCCCCGCACAGCCATTGGGAGGGCCCAGGTGTCTTTCGCCTCTTGGGGATATGCAACGAGAACAAGAGCAAGTTCACAACCAAGGGCACAGCTGTCCCCAAGATCTTCACTAACACAAGCTGCCATGTGAGCACTGGCAGAGGGGACAGGGTGAGAGAGCAGGCCACTGCCTGCTGTGCCCACTGGGG